GTATCAAAGCCTGGTCTTTAAAAGGACTGAATTGCCATGCAGAGCTGTTTGGTTTTTAAGCTGGGGTCAGCCAGTGTTACCGATGTTTGATGTTAGATGAATGCTGCAGTAGAGAATTGCAGTTTGCAGTGGAAACCACCGAGTGAGCGGGATAACCGAGCGAGTCGCGCGCTGAAGAAGCAGTTACTTAATCGATCTCCGTCAGGATCTTCGTTTGCGCTATATTGGGAGATGAACTTTAGGCCTGACACACACGAGATCCCTTGGAAGGGCAACCTGTTTAGGGGGATAAGCAAGTCAACGTGCTCTTGAAAATGAAATGTGATCTAGTGCTATCATTGCTCTTTCTAATAACTAATTGGGAAAACCAAAATTAAACTGCGGATTTAAACAGAGGAACAAAATTGTAAATGTTGTTTCTGCACTCAGTATTCTAAGGCTGAATGTTAAAAGTGCCTTCTGTCTTAAAATCCTAAACCAAATATACTTCGTGTTGAACTTGGCAGGCAGAAGTGTCCTTGCTTTAAAAATGAGCAAACAAACAAAATTCCCAGCAAACCTGGTGGGGATAGAAGAGTCTTAAGAGACCTATTTTAGTTTTTAGACTGAGGAGTGGTAGCAAGATTGTTTCAGTTAACTCAGTGCGATAGGAGGTTGACGATGTGATTCGGAACAGTAGAGCACGAGTGTTTCAGACTGTGACACCAAAACGAATGGGTTCAGCTACTTTCTGTAATTGGTGCTGTGCTGCTTTTTGCCCTTGTCAGCTTCTAAATATGATGAATTCCAACTGCGTACCCATTTATTTGAAGAATTAGTTGAACTAATTTTAGGATTTGTTTTCTTAAACACGAACGTCAGAGAGACGCTTCTGTTGTACGGCTAAGTGGATCATAAACACTAAGTTGCTGAGGATAAACTTGACTGTGAAACATGCAGTGTTCCGTAGAGAAAATAGAATTTCTAGATTGAGTTCACAAAATAGTATTTAAATTCCTACTGAAGTGACTTTCTGGTTTGTATCAAGGATGTAGGTGGAAACTGCTTTTATGTGTAGAGTTCTGTGGTATGAGTAACATCTGTTGCATGTAACACTAAACTACTTGTCCCTCTTGTCTAACGGTTTTAGGCAACGATTCATTAAATGCGTTTTGTATTGACCAGAGTAGAGTTAAAGCTTGTCTTGATGTTTAGTTCTGTCTCAAATGCCTTGAACTTTGATACGAGGGGAGCGAACGATGTCAAACCGATCCCTCAAGGTTTTACTTTGCTCTCTTCCGAGCCTTGAGGCGATTATCATTGTTTAATGTCTTGTACAGATTTATTTTGATGCATTCCTGTGCTCTACACCAAGGCGTCTTTTCATCCGAGGAGGAGGTGAGCACGTGCTGCCTGAAACGCTCAGTCGCAGCGCTAATAGCTCAGAAAACGCAGCGATGGAGACAAGTATAAGCCATGGTTACTTGGGCCGATTTCTGGGTGTAGCGCACGCCGAAAAAATAGGAAAAAAAAAAAACCAAAACCCCAGACCCATCAGCTGAAAGTGTAGGTGTTGACTGACTTCACTGTGTCTCATGCTTGTCTGTGTGGGCATGGTCTGCTCATCCCGTTTGTTCGGTAAAGCTGTTCAGGGCCAGATTTTCGGCAGTGGTGTCTGCAGTCCTCGTCTGTGCACGCACAGGGATCAAATGGGAAAGGAGTTTGGTCTCTGGAAGAGTTTGCAGCTTCACTTTGTGCACGAACTTGCAAATCTGGTCCTTACTTGTGAACTCTCGTCTCGTGTGCTTTTCTCGCAGTTCCTTTTTCCTGGAAGTGATTTGCTAGAAATGGCCCTGAGTCTTCTACTTTCTCTCTTGTGCTTCGGAAATGCAGTTGGCCTGAATAAAGGGCAAAATAATATTAGCAGTAGAAATTTGGACCTTCTTGCTTCCCGTTCTTTGTCTCTTTCCTCGTTGTTCCCAATGCTGGAAACAGCGTCTTTCTTCCAGTGAAATGGCTCAGGTGACAATTGGTGATGTTGTGGAAATCAGATGAGTGCTTCGTGCAACTGCCCCCGGCCCAGACAAATGTGGCGAGTGTGTGGTTGGTATTGATTGGAGCCTTACGAATCCAAAGGCAAATTCTGAGAAATCTTGAGGGTAGAAGAGAATGGGTAAAAAATAAAAGCTCATAAATAATACCTGGTCTGATGAGAGGCAGTGTCATTACCCAGATTCTGGTTGTGGTTTCAACACTCACGAGAACAGAGGGGGGAAAAAAACTGGTAAGATATAAATGGTGGTTCTGAATTTGGGCTTTCTTGCCCTGCCCCTTCCTGGCTTTCAGCTCTGCAGGGAGGAGCGGATTGGAAAGGCAAAAGAACCTCATCCCAAAACTTGCTTAGGAATTAAACATTCCCAAAATCCTCTTACTGTAAGGTACTCGCTGCTCCTAAGGCCAAGGAAGCATTGGAGTCTCGTTTAGGAAATGAATGTTCTTGGGGGTTTCTTGCTGTGAAGTGTTTGCACCGTTAAGGCCAATGAAACATTCCCGACCGCCTTCGATATCGGAAGCGATAACAAATCTCTCTGATCAGGGGTTTCTGCAACCTGTAGTTCGCATTTGTCTTCTGCTGCACGGAGTCTCTCGGTGGTTCAGGAAGGCTGGGGAGAGCTTCAGGCAGCACTTGATGCTCCGAATTTACATGGGCTAAAGTCAAGGAGATCCAATAGCTTTGGTGCTGCCAATGGTGCTTAAAGGTGATCGAGACAAAACTGGTCCAGAAAAGATGAAGTATTCTGTTACCATAAAACTGTGTTAAGCATGGCCTAAATATGAGGTGTTTGTTCTGTATAGTGTGTTCCACCAACTATTTATTACTAGTGCTTTAAACTCCAAATTAAACACCCCTTGAAATGGAGCCACTGGGCAGATGTTCCTTTAATTGATATAGGTTGAGAGATTCTCTATTGAAGGTTTAGGATACAATTTTGCTAACAGGTAAACAATGTAAATATGTATGAATTCTATTTGTTGCACATAACTTTTTTGGTATAAAAAAAAAATAAATGTAGAAATTACCTGTGGACGTCTTGCTGCAATCATTCTTATGCTGCATTCACACAGTCCAAACGTAAGAGCTTGAATGAACCCACTCAGAGGCCTTTTTGGACTCAGTCTGAGCCTTAGAAACTGTTTTTAAAGTCAGTACTGTAATTCTGTCTCTAGAAATGTACCAAGTTGTGATTGTTTTTTTTGTTTTAAAGACGTGGTGTGTTGGCAGTAGAAGGGTTAAAGCGCTTGGGTCCCCAGATACCAGGTTTTATAGCATTTCTGTGGTGTCTTGCCGAGTGTTGTGTGCTCATGGGTGTGTAAAGGCTGAGCTGCATCGACTTGAGGCTTTAACCCTGTACAGTTCTTTAAGTGACATGCAAAAAACCGTGCTGAGTCTGTCTTTTTGATCACTTCCTGCTCTCCTTGGTCCTGCTGCTCTGCTTTAACTCCGCTCTGACCAGATCACAAAGTATCTGGAAACTGCTGCGCGTTCTCCTGGATCTGGGGGGGAGGGAGGGGGTTTTGGGAAGGGTTGGATAGGGGGGCTGGGTTTACAGCTGCACTGAGCTGTTGCGAGCAAGCAGGAACTCGGACCGAAACGTGCGCTTAACCTTGTGTGTGGATATTAAACTTTGCATCCCTTGGACTGAATGGAAGGAGTAACTTTCTTTTCTGCAACCTTAAGCCCTGTGTGTGGTCATAGGGATCTGAGCCCTTGTTTGTCATGCATTAACAATGTCAAATCTCGATCTGCTTTAATGTGGCAGCTGTTGGTATGTCATGAAATGGGGAAGAAAATGGTTTAAAAGATTATGTCTAGAGATGTAGTGGTAGTGGGCTTAAGCGTGGTGCTCACCCTTACACCATGGTACGTGTGTCCAAGTGTCTTGACCGTGGATAGACTTTTATATTCTGGGGTTTTAGTTGTATAGGAAGCCTGTAAACCTAACACAGTATAACCATAAGGAATGTTAATTGTTTGTTTCTTCTTTTCCCTTGAAAACTCAGTGTTTTGAAGTCCGCAGTAAACGCGTGTCCTTATTCTGCACATGGCAGTGTGGAAGGTGGAAGGAGAATTTGGGCACCACACAACGTAAGAGCAAATATTCTCTGTATTGGCAGATGTTTTGGTCACTTTGTTGAGGTAGGAGCAGGAGAGCCAGTTGCACAACAGGCAGTCGTGGAACAGTGCCACGCAGTATCTGAGTCAGGATAATGAAACAACGTAGTTGTGCCAACTTCCGAAATTCGGTAGGCAGCCCTACCCCAGAATGCTGCAGACAGTGTCAAAAAAGGCTTAGATCCAACTCTCTAGACTATTATTACTGTAGTACCTAGTGACAATTGAATGTGAAGGAAGCTCTTCCATGCCGGAAGGCAAAACCGCATCTAACAGCGGCAGTTCTGGAACTGTGATTAAATAGTTTTAAACAAAGTTCAGTTGAGTAGTACCTACGTAGCTAACGTATTCCTCCTTGCTGCTGTAGTGTGGATTGCACGCTGTGCTGGGGTGTGTCGGTGGTTCATACCCTTCCTGAATGCTGTGAGCTCTCAGAATTTCTCAGCCAACCACGTAATTTCTGTCCAGCAAGAGAAGCTGTAGAAACCACACTCTTCACTTCACAATTGCTGTGATCTGAGCAGTGTAACTGTTAGGGGAGTAGAACTGGAAAACCCCATTTTCATTGGAGGGATGTGATGTTCATTTAGAGTAACTTGGAGTTCCTTTAAATTTTTAAGTCTTCAGCATTGATTTATATTGTGTGATTATTTTTTTTTGCCATAAACAGATACCTCAGTCAGGATCTCTAACTTCAGCTTCTTGAAACTCTGAATATTCACACCTTGCTACAGACACAGCTGAGCATAGGGAACTGGTGTTTCTGATCTGCTTTGCAGCATAGTAACTGCTTCAGGTGGACTAGAAATTGCATTAGACTTGCAAGACTTGAGTCAGGCATAAATGTTATTTAAACAGAAATTTAATGAACAAGTTCAGCATAGCAGCCAGCACTATACCTTCTGATTTCATTTTAGAAAGAGGGCGTGTGACTTTATTATAGGAGGAAGACAGCTTGATTCATTTGCAATCTTCCAGTATCTTTCTCTAAGAACAAACGCGGCTGATTTGGGCTGTCGTTGGCGGGTAAATATTCCTTTCTTGTTCCCCAAAACACGCGTGGTCCCTGTAGAGAAGTTATAAAATAAAGCAAGTTTATATAAAATGGTCTTGTATCCCCTACAGTGAACTGTTACGACAGACTTAGTAAATGGGGTGAGATGGAAGAGACCTGTGCCCTTTCTTCTACACAGTCAGGTACGACGGGGAACTTGGCAAGACGAGTTGATGTAACCGAGCGGTACAGCTGCCATTCATTGTATTTACAGCTGGGAAGTTGGTGGCAGTTACTTCAGGTCTGCCCATTAACTTGACCAGTATTATTATCAGTATCAGATGTTGCTTCTGCTGTTAGTTCCACCTTGAAATCTGATGGTGAAAATGTTGGTTACTGTCTGGCTGTACTGTCCTTCTGTGGTGTCTATTTTCGTTTGCCTGTTTTAGTTTTCACAGGAAACTAGAAAAGATGATTGCAACATGTAGAGAGGCTGGAACTGCATATGTATATGTGAGCTTGTCTACATTTTCTCCATCCTCTGACTTGATATTACTTTTCTGACAGCTTCTCTGCGATGACCTGGCTTTCTAATACTGGTATTGGTGCTCTGCAGATTACTCTTAATGGTGTTTCTCTGCCTGAAATTAGCACTGACTGTTCACCACCCAAACTCACTGCAGGTGCCATATGTGCAACTGGTTCCTTACTGGGTCTCTTGAGTTATAATGGTTTAATTTCTGTGTGTCTGCTCTGTACATGAAGTAACTCCCCATACATCTCTCTTACTAATAGTGGATGGAGTCTCATGATAGGTGTCTACCAGTGTGGCATCTGCTCCTCTTACTAAACCTCTACCAAGCTGATAATGTATTATTTGAGGTGCTCCGTTACTGAGGGCAGTTGTAGATGAAATATGAAGTGAGCCACATCCCTCACAGCTGACTGATGCTCTCAAATGAAGATGGCCAGGAAATGCTCTGTGTCTGCTCACAGGCATCCCTTGCATTCTGCCCAATCACATTGTCTCATGTTCTGGGTAGCATCTTTGCAGGTGGGACATCCAGGAGCTCAAGCTGGAGCGAGAATGCATTCAGTACAGGCAGGACCTTTCCCCCTTGGCTCTCGTCACGCTGGACTTTGTCACAGAAACCAGCTTTGCTCTGTCTCGGTAAGGAGAGGGAGGGCCCTTTTGTCCTACAGTATTCTTTGTGTGTCATAAACCACTGTAAACCTGCAGGGAGGGTGGAGAGGTGTTTAGAGTTTAAATACAAGCTTACCTTGATTGGTCATGAAATCAGCAAAATTCCACACGAGCTCCCCGATCACATACTCTTGCCTCTTTTTGTCAAAAACAGAGTGGTACTCTCTTAGCATCGCTTTCTGATACTCCTCGCTGAACATAAGAGGGGGATCCTACAGCAGGAAAAAGAGGTGGCCTTGAATGGAGGTGATGGTTAATCACAGCAAAGGCTCCATATTTTAACTTCCCACTTACTGGGGTCCCGCTTCCTGAAGATAAGCTTGACAATTGCTTGGCCTTTTCTTTGCCGCTGCATTAACAATGGCAATTTAGTGACAATTAACAACTGCTGAAATGGCAAGGGAAATGCACACAAAATACAACATAAGGCCAGGTGTACGTGGCAGGGGGGAGTCTGTGGTTTTGCTTGGTAATGGTGCTTTACTGTGATAGGTACAGGAGTGCCACCCGCTTTGTGCAGCACAGCATCGTGAAGTGAATGCCCTCCGGTGTCGTATCTTCTGATTAAGCATTTTCTACAAAAATACAGGTTTTGGAGTGCTCAGTGCTCTTACTCAAAGCTAAAAACTTTAGGTAAAATCTAACCTTTGTTAGTCAGCGGCAAAGCTCATTAATTTCAGAATCCCAGAATGTCAGGAGTTGGAAAGGCCCTGGAAAGC